GAGAAGAGGAAGGAGAGCACTTATGCCTGAAAATTATTATTGTTATTGATATGATATAAGACAGGATAAGGAGGATGGGTCATGTATTTCCTTAACCTGTTTTAGTGAATTTGTCCAGCAGTGCTGCCAGATCTTTGCATTTTCTATTGAATTTGTAATGACTGTCTATGAAGACAATATAGAATCTTCACTTACAAGGCTATTTTTACACTTAATCTGGTTTTACTGAGTTTTGAATAAGAGAAAATACAATTCACATTGTAACAAAGAAATGTCATCAGAGTAAAAGTTCCATTCTGCAGGACATATAGCTAAACAATATGAATCATACATCTTCCAGATTAATGCATTCAAGTTATATACCTATGAACCTATGATGTATCAGAGTTATGAGATAGACAAGGCAATTTTTCTAAATTATTTTCTATTAAAAAAGCATATCCCCACCCTCTGGGAACACATCATTCCAGCACATAAGGCATGCAGGCTGGTATCGTCATAGCAACGAAGCTGTGTACGTACAGCCCCTGATATGTTGACATCAACCCATAAGTCGTTTAGTACTGTGGGGTGCTTTGAGAAGGGCTACCCCAGATCCCTAAAACCAGCAGACAACTTCAAATACCAAACAGACAACAGGTGACTTGTTTGCCTATCCAGCTCTTTCAGCTCTTACCTAGTCTGCTTCTTCATCTCACCTCTCTGTAACATGCACTCCCTACTCTTCCTTCTCACAATTGTATCCTCTCTCTTCAAACTCTCTCCTTCATCCCTCTTCTCCACCCCACAGCTTATATATATCACCCTCACTCCCATCTTCACCTTCTTACTGTACTCATCAGCTCCTGCTAATTCTAAACCCACATACTAATGAAACCTCCAGGACACTGGGCTCTGTCCCTCCATATAAGTCATACTCCCATATTACCTCTCTCACACTTCTGCTTCTCCTAACATCTGGACACATTTCCCCAAATCCTGGGCAACAATCTTGTTCCTTTGACCAACACACCCAGCACCCGAAAAAGCTGTTCTGATCAAGAGAAACCTGATTAGGGTGGATGGCAAATGGGGGAGGAGCCTGAGCATGGCTGCGGCGGAGGGCTAAATGTAGGAGCTCTTCGATAAGCTCCTCTACCTGCCTCCCCAGGGTCCCTCAACAGAGAACGAGAGCCGTGCCGAGGCCTACCTGAGTGCCGGGGGAGTGTAGGCCCTGGGCAGCGAAGGGAGGAGAGTGGGAGGCAGGCCTGCCTGAAGTCCGGCGGTTCAGAGGTTCAGAGAGCCGGGTTGACGGGAGACGGGAGGGCGGAGTGGTCACGTGTCTGGCCGCAAGGGAGTACTGGGAGCGGAGGAAGCCGGCCGGCGTGCCGAGAAGAGAGGAGGGAGGCTTTCTGCTCCCGGCTTCTTGCTTTCTGCACCCTGCTCCCTGGTTTGTTTGCAAGCTGGCCGTGCATAGGGGTGAGGACCTGGACACTGGCTTTTGGTTGGAAGACCCCTATGGAAACAGGTGAAGCAGCCTGGTGGAGTCCCCCTCAGGAAAAAACTGTATAGAGGAACTGGATTCCTGAAGCATACCAAATGTCCCATTGTGCTGTGATGGAGAGCAGGGGGTGAGGGAGAGAAGAGGGGGAGTCCTAGGGGCTTTGGAAATAAAAGAAAAGGAAGAGAAGAAAAGTAAGCAACTTGAGAGGAGGAAGAGTGGTCACCAGCTGGGCTAAATTGGTACTTTCTCTTTTTTGTGTGGAATATCTATCTCTATAAGAGAGTATAGAGGAGAATAAGGCCCATAGAAGTAATGAAGAATAAAAGTAGTAAAGGAAGTGGGCCTAAAGGGTCCAAAATGGGATCGATTAAACAATATACATCCCAGGGAAAAGTGACTCCAGAAAGATCCCAAGGCATAAACGGAAGGGGTGAAGGGGATAACAGTCTGGAAAGCAGCCCTAGACTATCGTTGGGTCTAAATGTTAGCAGTCAACCAACAATAGGAAATATGGAGATGAGAGAGAAAGCGAACTACAAGTACCAGGATAAAAAAGAAATGGCACAGATGTTTAAAAGAACTAGAGAAGACAATAAAGCAAGAAATGGCAACTATCCGAAATGATTTGGGGCAGGTGTTGGTGAGAGTGGAAGAAACGGAGGAGAAAGTTAAAAATCAGGCCCAAACCATAGCGGAATTAGAAAAGAAAATAAAGAATATGGGGAAAGTGCGAAAAAAAATTGATAGAGGTACAAGAAAATTGGGACAGGAGGAGTACTCTTAGGATAAGAGGCGTCCCAGAGAACGCTAAAGGGGAAATACTGCAAGAATTAGTAGGTAATATCCTAAACTCCATAATGGACAGACCTGCCCCAGAGTTGATCGATCTGGAAGATATCGTGAGAATAGGAAAGCTCCAACAAGGCACTGGGAAGGAAAAACCAAGGGACATAATTGTTAAATTTAACAAACATGGGGATAAAGAAGCGATTTGGAAGAAGATCAAAGAAAAAGCCTCAATTAGATATGGAGAAATGGATATTCAGATATTTGCAGATCTTACACCAGAGACTCTGTGGAAAAGGAGATCCCTGAAACCCCTCTTAGAGCAGATGAGGAAAAAGAACGTGTTTTATAGATGGGGGACCCCAGCGTGCCTAATTGGATGGAAAGATGGAGTTACAGCTTATTTGAGATTTCCAGAAGACTTGAGAGATTTCTGTGAAAAACTTGAGTTGCAAAGAATGAAGATTGACGGATGGGAGGAGGAAGAGAGAGATATAGGAATGATAAGACAAGAGGACTGGCAGTCTGCTGGAGGGAGGAATTAGGGTGGGGGGGAGAGGGGAGAGGGAGGTTTTTTTTTTTTCTTCTTTTTCTCCCTTCTCCTTCTCTCTCTCTCTCTCTCTCTCTCTCTCTCTCTCTCTCTCTCTCTCGCCCATTTTCCCTCCTTATAGAATTTTACTTGGAGCTCTGTTTCAGGGGGCATGTGAAATTTTAAAGAGTCAATTAAAAGTAAGAGGGTACTGGGGAGGTGGGAGGGAGGAGGGGGGGGGAGGTACATTAATAGCCTAAAAATGGGAAGGGGAAAGGGGGTGGTTGGGGGGATGGGGGGGGTATTGGGGTTAACACTCTGCAGGATCGAGGGAGATATAAAAGCAAGGGAAACGAGGAGGAGGGATGGAGGTGAAAAGGAGTGATATAAGAAGGATGGAAGAACTACAAGTTATCACTTATAATGTAAAAGGGTTGAATTGTTTATGAACTACTATAGAAAGTTGTATAACATCAATCCCTATGACTCATTAAACAATACGGAAAATGAAAACAGGGAAAAAAGAAGGATGTATTTAAAAAATGCGGGTTTACCGAAATTAAAGGAAGCACAACTAGATTCCTTAGAAGCAGAAATAACACAGGAAGAAATAAAAGTAGCGCTAAAAAGCACAGAGACGGGGAAAGGTCCAGGACCAGATGGCTACACGGTGAGGTATTATAAAAAATTTTGCGAATTACTAATTCCCAAGCTGGAGAAATATATGAATGCTCTGGGAGGAGAGATGGACATGAGGAGAGAATCTCTACAGGCTCATGTGGTGTTGTTACATAAGGAAGGAAAAGATGCTTCACAGTGTTCTAGCTACAGGCCAATATCATTACTGAATTCAGACACCAAGTTATATGCAAAGGTCCTAGCAAACAGGTTGAAAGAACTTATGCCCGAATGGATACATGGGGACCAGGTGGGTTTTGTCCAAGGGAGGGAGGGCAGGGACAATGGGTTGAGATCCCTGATGCTTATTTAGAAAAGTAGAAAAGGGGAGGTACCGGCGGTGGTTTTTTCGATCGATGCTGAAAAGGCCTTTGATAGAGTAGACTGGGGCTTCATGATGGACACCTTAGAAGCCCTGGGAATTGGAGTTAGAATGAGGGAATAGATTTGAAAGTTGTATAGGGAGCCTTCCGCAGTAATTATAGTAAATGGGGAAAGAACAGAGCCTATTGGGATGTCAAATGGAACAAGACAGGGCTGCCCACTGTCCCCCTTGTTGTATGTTATGTCATTGGAGCCCTTGTTCTCCACAATAAGGAAGAAAAGAGATATAAAGGGAATTCAGATAGAAGCTATAGAGCACAAAGTGGCGGCCTTTGCAGATGATTTGCTATTTTATGTGGGGAATCCCAGGATAACACTCCCAAACTTAATGAAGGCGCTGAAGAAATATGGGGAATTATCAAATTTAAAAATCAATCCAACAAAAACTGAGATCCTAATTATAAATATTCCAAAAAGTGAAAAAGAGAAAATACAAAAGGAATTCCCTTTCATATGGAAAGAAAGAGATATAAAATATTTAGGAGTAAGACTAACTGCTGCATATAAGTATCTGTATAAACTAAACTATATATCATTATTAAACGAAGTTAAGGAGGAATTAAAAAATTTAGAAAGAGGAATTACATCATGGATAGGATGTGTAAACCTGGTAAAAATGATAATTGTACCTAAAATCTTGTACAGATTTCAAATGATCCCAATTAAACTCCCAGAAGCTTTTTTCAAGGTAATAAAAAGAATAACAAGATATATCTGGAGGAATAAAAAACCGAGAGTGTCTTATGAAATATTGAGTAGAGACAAAGAGAAGGGTGGTTTGGGAGTTCCAGATATTAAGAGATATTACAAAGCCGTAATACTAGGGAGAATTTTTGATTGGACGTTTAATTTAGAGGGGAAAAGTTGGGTAAAAATTTAAAATGCACTTAGTGGAATTAATTTGAATAGAATCATTTGGTTACCTGCACAATAAGAAGACGTAAGCATATATACTTTAAATGTATTAAGGCAGTGATGGCGAACCTATGGCACGCGTGCCAGAGCTGGCACGCAGAGCCATCTCAGTGGGCACGCCAGGAAGAAGAGGAAGAACGCGCTGTCCTGCGCACCCCCAGGGGCGCGCACCGGGAGATCTCCGTGATCGCTGTGTCCTACGGACACAGCTGATCACGTGACGTGGTAAAAGGCCAATCACAGCGGCCTTTTACCACGTGATCAGCCATGTCCAATGACACGCTGATCACCGGGAAATGCAAATGCCGGTTCTCGGCTGCACTTTCCTCACGCTGTCAGATCGTGAGAAAAGTACTGCCGAAAACCGGCAGTTGTCAGAGCAGGGAACGGCACCGATCATCAGGGTCGCTGATCATCAGTGCCCTGATGATCGGTGCCCAGCAGTGCCACACACAAGTTCCGCCCACCCTGTTCCCAGCAATGCACCCACCTGTGCCCAGCAGTGCACCCACCTGTGCCCAGCAATGCACCCACCTGTGCCCAGCAGTGCATCCACCTGTGCCCAGCAATGCACCCACCTGTGCCCAGCAGTGCATCCACCTGTGCCCAGCAATGCACCCACCTGTGCCGCCCACCTGTGCCCAGAAGTGCCACCTACCTGTGCCCCAGTAGTGCCACCCACCTGTGCCAACCCACCTGTGCCCACCAGTGCCACCCACCTGTGCCCACCAGTGCCACCCACCAGTGCCCATCAGTGCAGCCCAGCAGTGCTGCCAGTCAGTGCCACCAGTCAGTGCCTAGCGGTTGTGCCAGTCAGTGCCCAGCAGTGCCGCCAGTCAGTGCCCAGCAGTGATGTCAGTCAGTGCCACCTATCAGTGCTGTCTATCAGTACCCATTATCAGTGTCGCCTATCAGTGCCACCAATCAGTGCCACATATCAGTGCCACCTATCTGTGACACCTCATTAGTGCTGCCCATCAGTGCCACCCATCAATGATGCCCAGCAGTGCCACCGGTCAGTGCCGTCTGTCAGTGCCTCCAGTTGGTGCTATCAGTCAGTGCCGCTTATCAGTGCCCATCATTTCCTGCATATCAGTGCATCATCAGTGCCCTCCTCGTCAATGCTCACCAGTGCCGCCTCATCAGTGCTACTTATCTGTGCCACCTCATCAATGCCCATCAGTGCTGCCTATCAGTGCAGCCTCACCAATGCACATCAAAGAAGAAATATTACCTGTTTGCAAAATTTTAGAATAGAAGCAAAGGAAACCTTTTATGTTTTTAACTTTTTACTCTTTTTTCATTTATAGTGCAAAAAATAAAACACCCAGTGGTGATTAAATACCACCAAAAAAAGCTCTATTTGTGTGAAAAAATGATAAAAATTGCATATGGTTACAGTGTTGCATGACCGCACAATTGTCATTGTTAAGTGCAACAGCACTGAAAGCTGAAAATTGTCCTGCACAGGAAGGGGGTAGAAGTGCCCGGTAGGCAAGTGATTAATTCCAGTGTTGGCACTTTGAAATAAAAAAGTTGGTTTTGTGTTGCAGTTTGGGCACTCGGGCTCAAAAAGGTTCGCCATCACTGTATTAAGGGAATGGGATAAAGTACACAAATATATGAAGTGGGAGTTTAATTCTATATTAATGCCACTAAGAAACACAGAACTTTTCCCCCCCCAGGTAGAGAGGAGATAACAGGTAGATGGTTTAAAAAAAAGGAAGATGTTCGACTGAGAGATATAATGGGGGAGGGGAAATTGAAGCCATTTAAAGACCTGGTAAGGGAAAAGGGAGAGATTTTTGCTAGGTTTGATGAGTGGCGTTATCATCAATTAAAATGTTTTGTGGGAAATCTCCCAAAACCTCTGAGAATGAAAAAGGATTGGAATTTGTTTGAAAGGTTGATGGATTCATGGGGGATGGGAAACACGGCACGTCTAAAATATATAGAATCCTTACAGAATTAGACACAAACACAAAATCAATGCACATAGTGAAATGGGAAAGAGATATGGGGGTGGTATTAGATGAGGATAAACAGAAGAAAATAAATAGATTAGTTCACGAAAATGTAAGTTTGAGGGACGTAGAAATAAACTACAAATGTTTGATAAGATGGCACATTACACCAAGTGTTGAAAATAAGATATGTGGAGAGAAATCACCATGGTGTCGGAGGGGGTGTGGAGAGTTAGGGACAGTGTATCACATCTGGTGGGAATGTCCAAAAATTCAGGTATTCTGGAAAACAATAGTACATTTAATTGAGATCATAACTGAGATAAATATTGGGTTAGACCCAGGGATTTGTTTGCTACATAGTTCAGAGATATCAGTTAGCAAATATAAGAATTTAGGTTTAGGGTATTATTTAAATGCCGCAAAAAGTCTGATCCCTAAGTATTGGAGAAAAACAGAAGTACCGAAAGAGGAGGATTGGATAGAAAGAATAAACTGGATTAGGAAAATGGGGAAGCTCTACTATTTGCAGGAAGATAAGATGGAGATATACCATGCGAAATGGGAAAAATCTGGAGTAAAGGCAAAAAAGTGAAATGTAGAAGGATATAGAGAGGGTGGAAGGGTAGGATATCCTTGCTTTAGAAGAGAGGTTGGGAATGAATGCAGAGTGGGTGGTTGGGGGGGGGGGTAGAGGATGGGTGGGTAGGGGGGGTAATGGGGGGAAGAGGGAAATGTTTTAAGAGGGAAAAGAAAGGTAATAAGAGATAGTTATGTATATTTATTGTGAATATGATGAAAGTGTTTGTAATTACTTTGAAAAATTAATAAATATTTCAATTAAAAAAAAAAACAAAAAAAAAAAAAACACACCCAGCACCCCCTAACCTCTAACAGCGGCTGCAATCCACAAAATCTGTTTACTATTCCTCTTTTTTCTAGAATCAGCCTCCCCTTTTCTTGTGCCCTTTGGAATGCCCGCTCTGTCTGTAACAAACTCACCACTGTCCATGACCTTTTTTATCACAAATTCCTTTAAGCTTCTTGCAATTACGGAAACCTGGCTTCATGAATCTGACTTTCCCTCTCCTGCTGCCCTCTCCTATGGTGGTCTCCTCTGGACTCACTCTCCTAGGCCTAGTGGACAGAAAGGAGGTGGAGTTGGAATACTCTTATCCTCTCAAAGCACTTTTCAGGCCCTTTATTCACCACCCTCTCTGTGCCTCTCCTCATTTGACGTTCACTGTATCTGTCAGTTCTCTCCAGTTTCTTTAAGAATTGCTGTGATCCATTGGCCTCCTGGACCATTATCAAGCTTCCTTGATGACTTCTCTGCCTGGCTGCCTTACGTTTTCTCTTCTGAAATTCCCACAACCATTCTCGGTGACTTCAAAATCCCTGTTAATCTTAACACTCCTGCTACCTCTAAACTTCTGAGCCTAACCACTTCTTTTGACCTAAAACAATGGACACATGCTTCTACTCACTGTAATGGTAACTGCCTCGACCTTGTATTCTCCTACCAATGCACTCCTTGAAACCTCACCAACTTTCCTTTTCCTCTCTCTGATAACTCCCTTATTGTCTCTATGACAAAATTTCAGCCCTGTCCTGCCCCAACCTGGCCACTTCTGTCGACAACAGTTCACTGTCATCCACCGTGGACACATTGGCCCCCCTCACTACACACAGAATTAGGCTCTGACCGCTACAGCCCTGCCAAACAGACAATACCAGATGCCTCAAAAAATGTAGCCTTGCTCTTGAATGTTTATTGCGTAAGACTAAGACCCAGCAAGACTTCAACCAATATAAATCTGCCCTTCAAAAATACAATTCCTGTCTCCACTCTGTCAGACTTTTTTGTCACTCTCATTAACACCCTCTCACACAGATCGCTAATCACTTCAAAAATAAGATTGATACAATTTGTGATGAGATCTCCACTGTACAAGTATCTCCCTCACCCTACACTCCTTGTCCACCTGCACAATCTATACTTCCCTTGTTTAATCCAGCTACTATAGAGGAGGTTGGTAAACTTTTTCTACAGCCCACCTAACCACCTGTCCCCTGAACCCTGTTCCCTTGCAAATACTACGGTCATTCTCTGGCTCTATCCTTCACTCTTTAACTCATATAATCAATGTCTCCCTTTGTACTGGCATCTTCCCCAACTCTCTAAAACATGTTCTAGTCACCCCCATACTTAAAAAGGCCTCACTGGAGGACAAATCTTAGCCTCAAACCGAAGACCCATCTCCTTACTCCCTTTTGCCTCCAAACTCCTTAAATGTCTACCTCATTGAGAATAACCTTCTCGATACCCTTTTAATCTGGATTTGGCCCACAGCACTCCACAGAAACTGCTCTCCTAAAACTCACAAATGATTTACTAACCACTAAAACCAATGGTCACTATTCTGTACTCTTACTCTTGGACCTCTCCACTGCCTTTGACACAGTTGACCACCCCCTCCTCCTCAAAAAACTCAAATTACTTGGTCTCCATGACTGTAATCTCCGTTGGTTCAAATATTACCCATCTCACCACACCTTTAGTGTCACTTACAACTCTACTTCTTCCTCTCCTACTCCTCTTACCATCGGGGACCCCCAAGGTTCTGTCCTTGGACCTCTCCTATTCTCGATCTATACTTCTTCCTTGGGTCTTGGGTCAGCTGATAGCTTCCCATGGTTTCCAATAGCAGTTCTATGCTGATGACACACAAATCTATTTCTCTACTCCTCAGCTCACCCCATCAGTCTTTTCACATATCACCAATTTACTAACAGACATATAAGACTGGATGTCACACCACTTCCTAAAACTCAATCTATCCAAAACTGAGCTCATAATATTTCCTCCCCCCCATATGCCTCTTCCCCTGATTTCTCAGTCAGGATCAATAGCACCACTATCAACCCATCCCTGCATGCCAGGGTGCTAGGGTAACCCTGATTCTGAACTATCCTTTCAGGTCCATATCAAATCCCTGTCCAAATCATGCCGCCTTAAACTCCGCAACATCTCCAGAATATGCCCCTTTTTAACCAATGATACCACAAAGTTCCTAATTCACTCCCTGGTTCTCTCGTCTTGACTAATGCAACTCCCTCCTCATTGGCTTACCTTTACATAGGCTATACCCCTCCAGTCCATCATGAATACTGCTGCCAGGCTCATCTACCTTACCAACCGTTCAGTGTCTGCTACCCCTCCACTGGCTTCCACGCACCCAACGAATAACATTCAAAATACTAACAACAACTTGCAAAGCCATCCACAACTCTGCCCCCAGCTACATCACCAACCGGGTCTCAAAATATCAAGCAAATCGCTCTCTTTGATCCTCCCAAGACCTTCTGCTCTCTAGTTCCCATGTCACCTCCTCCCACGCATGCCTCCTGGACTTCTCCCGAGCTTCTCCCATCCTATGGAACTCCCTAGCCCAATCTGTCTGGCTATCTCCTAATCTATCCAACTTTAGACGATCCTTGAAAACCTTTCTCTTTAAAGAAGCCTATCCTGCTTCTAACTAGTAAACTGCCTTTTATTTCCTCCCCCACAGCTATTAACTTTTGTATCACTCAACCCTTCCTCCTAGATTGTAAGCTCTAAC